TATATGTACATATTACAGTGGAGTATTAGTGAGTTTGCCAAATGAACATTTGACAAGTAATGACCGAAAAATCCAAAATACTAGTGTCTATAGAGAGCTTTTACATCAACAACTAGTTCCGTTAATCGAGCTGCCGATTTGTGCTTTAAGCATATAAATACTAAGTTGAAGATTTTACTAGGTCTCAATTCGATTGAGTTTAGCTCAAAGGAATCTTGGCCATCTCGCAACCTTTTTTGAAGTGGTTCACATGGGTCATAAATTCATGCCGTATCACTTTTCAATTGTAATAATTGGAATACAATTTCTTGAAAAACTTTGAAACAGTTAGTTATTTGAATCCCCTTAGGCACTTGGCTGCTGCCACCCTCACTTCTCTCAAAAAACTGAGGTTAAAGTTCGCAGAAAAATAAAGCGTCTCGAAAATCTTTTCAGAGGACTCCGCACAAAACAAAAAGAAATTCTCGTACAGCCACTGTTAGTAAACCATCTGAATGGCTCTAGATACCCGAACATACCCATTACGCGTCATAGTACCCAATATAATAGTAGTTACTCAAGAGAAAGTCATTTCACGCGGAGTCACTGCTCGTGACCTGTTCAGGCTTAGATTCGGTCGGAAAACATTGCGAAAGGGCTTGTTGAAAATGATGAGTACAATTCTGCAACATGCAATTACAAAGAGGATATAGATATAACATTAGAAGTAACTGTCTTACCCGTTACTCATCTGGACGAGTTCCCAGGCAAGAGTGTCCAAGAAGTATTTCAAATGTCGTGTCGTTGTTAGACGAATGAATTGGACAGCATAAAGGGCAAAAATCATTATGGCTGCACTCACGCAACCCTAAAAACCACATTTATGTAGAGCACTGAAATCTAGTCCTGCGACTACGCTAGAATAGTTGTAGATATCCTAAATACTCAGGAAGATATCCTACCTGTATGTAGAAGTGCGTATTAGTTCTTAATTTCCTTAGTGACTGCACTGCACTCGCTCCGCTTATACGTCGCAGCACCTTTAATTGAAAGTGATATTCTACGTAGTTCAAACGAAGCATCTTCCGGGTTTGCAAGAAACCGCTTTCTTGTCAAAAAAAGCAGCAAGATATAATACTGGACTGGAAGTGGCCGACCACAAAGTTGGGTCCATCGGTATTTCCAGGCATAATTAAAAGGTATATTTATAAAACAAGTGCCAGCTCTAGACATATCACTCGTGCGCAAAAGTTCGGAGGAAGATTTACAACATTCCACAAGGATATCTGACTTCCGTCGCGTCTCGCGACGCCTCCGTATTTCGAGGATGCAAGGCGCTCCTCGAATTACGGAGGCCGGAAACACCGGTTACCTCGCTATCCGGCGACGGTTACGTTAGCCGAGACGCGTGTTGCCGCAATCGTCTCCGAACTCTCCTTCGTTGGCTGCCAGTAGGCGGCTTTATAGGTTCCTCAGTTTCGGTGCCTTGTTCGTCTCTGTTTTTATCGATTGATTCACTTTCTTGTTCGGAATATGCAGAGTGTCCCATAAGATCTGAACACTGTTGGATCATAAATAACTCTCCTGCTTTCATGTCTTTCGGCAAGCTTGAGGTACCATTCTGTAGAACGAGGTTCAACTTAGA